GCAGAAGGAGGTTCAATTGCAGTTTCCACCTCTCCGGAGGGTGGGTCTAAGGAGTCAGAAAGGAGCTGTTAAGGCTCCTAAAACCTCATGATCCTTACTTGGATGCGAGGGGGTTTAATGCCCCTCACAAGCACAGTGCAGTGCTTGATATACTTAGTAGGAGTAGAATTAAACTGTTTGCTTTGCTGGAGACTAGAATAAAGAAGGAAAAGTCTGAGAAAATTAAAGAGAAGTTTAGTAATTACCATATTGAGGATAATTATGAGTGTCATCCGCTGGGAAGAGTTTGGTTAGCATGGGATACTGAGGTGAAGGGTACTATTCTTTGCACTGATGCAAATTTTATTCATGCGCTGGTTTCCATTTCTCCTGGTGTGCGTTTCTTCTTTACTGCGATTTATGCATCCAATGATGAGGCGGAGAGAGCAACTACTTATTCGAGACTGAGTAAATGGAGAGTCAGAGGTTTCCCATGGATAGTATGTGGTGACTTTAACGCTATTATCAATCCATTTGAAGCATCTAATATAGTACCGATTAATTCAAGTATGATAGCTTTTCGAGAATGGATAACAGATATGGAGCTGGTGGATCATCAGGCTTCGGGTTCATTTTTTACTTCGACTAATCAGCAGAGTGGGAATCCGATTGCAAGGAAGCTGGATAGAATGTTGATCAATGAGGATTGGCTAGACAATTTCCCTGATAGTGTGGCTGAGTTTCTTAACCCATCTTTTTCAGACCATTGTGGGATGCTGGTGACACCTTGTCGTCCGCGAAAATCCTTCCCCAAACCTTTCAGGTTCTTTGAGATGTGGATGCAGCACCCTTCCTACGAGAAAATAGTGAGTGATGTTTGGAATCAGCAGCTACAAGGTACAGCCTTACAGAGGATTAAGAGGAAATTCCAAGTTCTGAAATTGGAGCTCAAGAATTTAAACAGGCAGGAATACATGAATATCAGTGACAGGGTAAAAGAGGCCAGTTCTAACCTTGAGATTGCTCAAGCACAGGCTTTAGAAGTTCCCAATGCAGACACATTTGACAGGATGAGAGTTCTCACTGAGGAGTTGCAGAGATTGAGGAATGCTGAGGAAAGTTTCTACAAACAGAAATCGTGCATTAATTGGCTCACACTGGGGGATATGAATTCTGGTTTTTTCCATAGAGCAGTGAAGATCAGGCAGGCTCGCAAGCAACTGAGAAGATTAATTACTAGCTCGGGAGTGGAAATTACAAGTAAGCAAGGCATAGCAGATGAGGCAGTGGGGTTTTATGAGCAATTATACAGTGTGGTGAATCCTGAAGTAAAGCCTGACTCGACAATAATTGGTTCTTTCATTAATAAAGGCTTAAGTGAGGGTAGTAAAGATTTGCTATGTGCTGAAGTATCGAATGAAGAAGTTAGAGCTGCTCTTTTTTATATGAATCCCCTAAAGGCGCCTGGCCCTGATGGGTGGACTACGGGTTTCTTTCAGAAGCATTGGGGCTTGATTGGTGCTGATATCTGCGAGGGAATCAAAGAGTTCTTCAGAACTAAGGCTTTACCTCGAGGTATGAACACTGCTTCTCTCACCCTAGCCCCTAAAACGTTAAATGCTGACAGAATGACTGCTTTTCGACCTATTTCCTGCATCAATGTGATGTATAAAATCATTGCTAAGGTGCTGGCAAATAGGATTCAGGTTGCACTCCCTGAGGTGATTAGTAAGAATCAGTCCGCTTTTGTAAAAGGAAGGAGTATTCTAGATAATATTTTAATGGCGCAGGAAATAGTGCAGAACTACAATAAAACAAAAATCTCATCTCGATGTGCTGTGAAAATTGATCTTCACAAAGCTTTTGACTCGGTTAATTGGGAGTATTTAGTCTGTGTGATGAGGCATATGGGTTTCCCAACTGTGTTTATTGAGTGGATACAGGGTTGTCTTGGATCTGCTTTCTTCAGTATTAGCTTGTATGGTTCTTTGTTTGGTTTCTTTCAAGCTAAGAAAGGGGTTAGGCAGGGGGACCCTCTCTCCCCCTACCTATTCACTATAGCCATTGAACCACTTTCGAGCATGTTGGATTTTGCTGCCAGCTCTAAACGTATTCATTATCATCCTCAGTGTCGATCAATAGGTTTGATGCACCTTTGCTTTGCGGATGACCTATTGATTTTCACTGAGGGGTCAGCAGCTGCATTGGTACAGATTAGGAGTTTGTTAAATGATTTCTATCTGCTATCGGGCTTGAGGTGTAACCCTCAGAAGTGCGAGGTTTTCTTTGGAGGGCAGGCACATTTATATAAGGCGAATGCTATTGAGTTGTCAGGATTTGCAGAAGGACATCTGCCTGTGAGATATTTAGGGCTCCCTTTAATTGTTGGCCGGTTGTCAACTAGGGAGTGTGAAGTGTTGGTGGACAAGTTAACTAGTCGAATTCGTTCATGGAAAGCCAGCAAGCTTTCTTATGCGGGAAGACTCCAGCTGATCTCATCGGTGTTGTACTCTTTAGTGCAATACTGGATGAATGTTTTCATTTTGCCTAAAAAGGTTTTGGACCTTAAGATTTGTTCAGACTTTTTATGGCATGGGGAAGGCACAGGGAGAGCGAAAGTGGCTTGGGACTTAGTTGCACTTCCTAAACGTGAAGGGGATATGGGATTGAAGGATCTAGGAAGTTGGAACATGGCATGTATGGCTAGGTTGTTGTGGCTTATCCTGCTGCAGAGTGGTAGTTTCTGGGTTGCTTGGCTGCAGTAGCACAGGCTGAAGGGGAGTTCCATATGGAATCTACCTCAATCTCAGTCTGGTTCATGGATTTGGAGGAAGCTTCTCAAATCCAGAAGCTGGTTACAGTTCAGATTAGATACTGATACAGAAGGCAGAGTACTCTGGGAAGGAAGCCCGATGCCAAGATTCGTGGTACAGAAGATCTGGGCCTTTATTAGGCCAAAAGGAGCTCGTGTGGAGTGGTGGAAGCTGATCTGGAATAAACACGTGATTCCAAGAAACAGGGTGGTGGCTTGGTTAATAATTTTGAACAGGATTACTACGAGGGACAAGCTTAAGCAATGGGGGAAACTTTCTGATTCTTTGTGTGTTTTATGTCAGGCGGAGGAAGAAACTCGTGGCCATTTGTTTTGCACTTGTACTTATGCGTTGGATTTCTTTGCAGCAGTTTTTGATATGCACAGGTGGCCGAATGACTGGGACAGCCTCATGAGTTGGTTATGTCGAAGGTGCAATAGAGAAGGCAGCAAAGGGCTGATTTGGAGTGCGATCTGGTGCTGGTGTGTAAGTGTTATTTGGAAAGAGCGGTGTGCTCGGATGTATAGAGACGAGCAGCGATCAGTGGAGGAGATAAAGAGACGATGGGTTGCTGATTTCAATCTTTTTGTGATGGGAAGACCGGATTTCCGGTTAGAAATTTTGAAGATTCCCCATTTGAGTAGCCTACTATATGCAGTATAGGTAGTTTATGAGAGGTTTCTGTTTATGGTTTGTAAACAGATTGTAGAGCGTATGGCTCTTTGTTTTTGAGGGTCCTGTTTTATCAGGCTGAGTTGAATAAAAGTTTCGATAATTACCGGGAAAAAAAAATCTAATGACTGAAATTTGGTTACTAATTGATCAGTAATCGTATCTGGAGTCATGTAAAACCATTGTTATAAGAACCGAACCGGATCAACGGTCGGACCAGTAGAACCGCCAAACCAATTATAATAACGGTCCGGTTCATTGCTTGGACGGTTATTGATGGACCAAACGGTTTTTCACCGTTCAACATAAAATCAGATAAACCACCACAGTTTAATTGGTCCACTAGTTCACTATTTTGACCAAAATTTTTTTTTTAAATACTTTAACATAAACTAAGACCATCAAACTATAATTATTAATTTTATATATGCTTACTCTTATCATTTCAACCTTGTTGTCGACTTTATGTTGTCCACTACCATGATACCGTAATTTTTAATTTTAATTAAAAAATATAAGTTTTGAATGATTTATTAGATAATTAGTGTGATGATATAAATTAGGAATTGTTTATGGTCAATGATAATTTCATTCTTAAATTAGTGTAATATACAAGTCTTATATTTTATATATCATGAACGGTTCTATGAACGGTCTACCAACGGTTTGTAACGATTAATCACTAAACCCTAAATCATTAACTTTTTCGGTTGAGCCTCCTTTCCAAAAACATAGCGTAAAAACATACTATGGTGCTGTTTTAGTAAACAACAAAAAAACGCAACTCAGGAGGCTAATCAGCAACAGTAGACTAGTAGTAGCGCGCGGTAAAAAGCAGGAAGCTTAGCTAGGCTAAAAATCTAAATGAAGCAGTAAAATCCTTGCAGCGGCCTTGTCAAATTACACTTACAACTCCATCAAACATCACCCCCCAATTCTGATCAAACCCCTTTCTCGACAGCCTACCGTCAAAAACAACAGTCTCGATAACACAACTACCTCCCCACAGAGTCTAGATCCGAAATCCACTGTCACCACATCACAGCAGTAAATACACAAAAACACCACAAACAGAAATTGAATTAAATAAACTACCATAGTAAATTCCTCTCCCTCCCTCTTTCTGCTTGACTGAGCATTGTCATTCAATGGTTACAAATACTTTAGAGGCCCTGAATGACAGCCATTTCAGGTTTTGATTCGATGGACAGCGACTCGCGACTCACTATCTCTGCTACTTCCTTCTACCCCATATAAAAAAAATACTTCACAGTAACCAAGTGAAAAAACAACTGGAAAATTAACCTGGGGGTAAATAACAGCAGAAGCCGACCCATCAGAAAAATCACCAGAAGCTGCACCCAGCCGCCATTTCCTTCCACAACCTCTGAACAAAGAACAACCCTCCACTCCCTCCTCTCCTCTCCCAACAAAGGTAAAAAAAAAAAAAAACACAATAATAATATATTAAACAAATTCCAACTGTCAGACAAACCCTAAACCCCCAAAATAATAATAACACAAAACAAACACGAATCAATAAGAAGCACCGCCGGCGCCAGAAGAAGGCTGCAACCCGAGCGAGGACTGCAGCTGCGACAGGTGGTGGTAGCAATCGGCGGCAGTCGGCCTCTGCTCCGGGTTCTGATCCAGACACCGATTCTGCAGCTCCCTCAGCAGCTTCGGCACCCCGTTCCCGCCAACAACACCGCACGTCCTCACCAGGTTCCCAACCCCCCAAACGTCCACTTTAACCCCATGCATCCCTCGCCCCATCTCCGGCGCGTGCCTCCCACCCCCTCCTCTTCCTCCGGCCGCCGCCGCCACCACCTCGTGCGGGTACAGCTGCGGCGCCACCACCGCCTCGTCGAACCCACAAACAAACCACTCCTGCTGCCCTCCATCCCCATCCCCGCCACCACTTCTTCTCATCATCACTTTATCCCAACTCAAGTCCCTGTGCATAAACGACAAGTCGTGCAGCGCCACCAACGCTTTGGTCACGTAGATCAACGACTCCACCAGCTGCTCGCAGCTCGTCGGCCTGAACCTCACCCCTCGCGGCTTGAACACAAGCGCCAGCTCCCTCTCCGACGACCGCCAGATATACTCCGCGTGTGGGATCCTTTGGTCGAGGATGTCGTAGATGTCCTTCACCGCCGCCCATTTCGTCCTGCTCGGGAAGAACCTCGTCATCGTGTTGGGTGTCATCTCGGTTACCACGCCGTTTCCGCCTTGCTCGACGCGGTCGAAGTCGCTGTAGATCGTGGTGGTGGTCGTGGTGGCGGGGGCAATGATGTTGTTGTTGGAGCAGCAGCGTTCGGCGAGGAGGGTTAGCAGCCCGCCGATTCTGTAACACGGGACGAGCGCCTTGATACGCTCGGACGGGCTGGAGAGGTCCAAGGAGTAGAGATCGGTTCGCACGATCTGGGACGACGATCGACAGAGCGCGCAAAACGTCACCGTGTGGCCCACCGCGTAGTACCCGAGGATGTAGGGGAGATCGGCGTACGTCCACATCAGCTTCTCGACGATGGTGGACGATGGATGGTGCATTTCGTCTCTCGGTTGGTCGGTTTCCTCTCCCCTCCACAGGCACAAGTTTCGGACGAAACCTGTCACGTTCGGCCATTGGTCCTGCAACGACGACGACGTTGTGGAAGCGTGGGGCGGCGGAGGGGGAGCTGGCTTTCGGATGACGGTGAGGTCGAGGGAGCAGAACTTGGAGACGAGACGGTTGATGCAGTCGTCCCAGAGGCCGATGAACGAGTCCCGGCTGGATGGTGTGATCGAGGTGGCGCGGACGATGGGGGACAGGACTTCCATGGTGAATGATTTGGAGTCGAGCGGGGTTGTTTCTGCCGACGTGATGAAGAAGTGCTCTTTCGTTTGAGGCAAGTCTCGGTACACGTCCTTGCGGAGCGGGAACCTCAGTTCCTCCGGCGGTGGCTCTTGGATGTACCACGAGAGTTCGAACAAGCTCGGGAGAGTCGGCGGTGGGACTCGGAGGCAGCTCGTGTAGTACTCCGTCGGGTCTTGATATTCCAACGGCGGCACTAATGCTGCAGAAAAAAAATAAAATACACAATTTCATTATAATAATTAGGAAAACGTGACGACGCAAATAAAATTTTTAAGGGCGAAATTATAGGAGGATTTTACATCTGGTAGGAGGTTCAGCCGATGGGATGTGAACTCTTTCCATATTGACGCCCGCGGGGGAGGATTTCCTTCTACCGAAAACCTTGACGTGCTGGCCAGAGACGAACTTGTCGACGGAGAAGCCTCTGAGAGCACCGTCTTCGAAGGCTTCCATGGTGCATGCCACCATGGAGTCGTCCAAGAAGGTGAGCTCGTCGGCGTTCAGGAAGCTGGAGCCTTGAAGCTTCACTCTACCTTTGTGATGCTCGCCTTCTTCGGCCCACAAGCTCACGGATTCCTCCCACGTCATCCTCACTTTCCCGATCCTCCTGAGCTCCTTGCTCGACGGCCTACCTCCAGCTCCCGCCTCCATCGATGCCTCAAACCCTAATGCGCCGGAGGAGGAACTCCCTCCTCTCCCTCCGTGGCCGAAATACCCCTCCGCCGCCTGCCCCCCGCCGCCGCCACCACTCGTGATCACCAACTGCTTCCCACTCCTCCCTATCACGTACAACAACGAAAACAACCACAAAATTAAGGAGGGAAAATAGGGTTGTTACGATTATTGTACAATTACAAGTTGCAACTTGGTCGTAGTGTTTTTAGGCCAGGAAATTAACATTTCTTACATTGTTTACTTGTATTATATATATATAAGATGAATATAAATTAACAATTTCATGAAGCTACCTAAAATAACAAAATTACCTGAAGCTACTTTATTATTATTATTACTGTTTCCAATTTTATTGTTACCTGACGCTAGGGGGAGGTTGATGAGGGTATCGTCGTCCTTAAACGGCGGGGGAGGAAGGAGGGAAGGCCTGGTTGGTGTCATCCCAACGACGACGTTTCGACCGCCAACCTCGTCACCCGAGGACGTCGTAGTACCAGTACCGGAGCCAATCAAGAGACAACCTCCTCCTCCACCGGCAGCAGCAGCAGCACTACTACTCCGGCCGTGGGAATTGGGAGTGCGGACCCGAGACCCCATGAACTGAGAAAGCTCGTCGAAGACCTCCTCGTCGAAAGAAGCCGGCAGCCTGTGCAGCTTCCTCTCGTACGGCGACAGCCGGAAGTAGCTCTTCCCGACGCGATCCCGCTCGCCGCCCCTCTCCCACTCGTAGACCTTCCGGAACTCGCCGAGCATGTTGTCCCACTTGGTCCCCGCCGTCTTCGCGTCGCGCTGGACGCCCTGCCGGTTCAGAAACTCCGCCACCTCGCGGTCCTTGTCGGCGCGCGTCTTCCCCCTCGTCGAATGCACCGCCGCCGCCGCCAGGTGGTGGTCCCCGTAGTCGCCGCCTCCGCCGCCGTCCTGGTACTGGAGGCGCCAGGCGCGGGCGAGCCAGAGCATCTCGTTGGGCTTCCACACCGGGCTCACGTACTTCCCTTTCCTCATCTGATGAATCTGCTGCTGCTGCTGGTCCTCGGCGGATGGCTTGCTGGTCTCCTGGCCGGAGGCGGCGGAGAGGGATGGAACAGGGGAGTGGGTCGGGGACGAGGTGGCCGTGTCGGAGGAGGAAGCGGTGGCGGCTGCTGCGGCTATGGAGGTGGCTGCCGCCGTTGTGTCGGCGGCGGCGGAGGATATGGGTTGGGAGGAAGGGGAGAGGAGCTTCCATTGGGAGGTGGCGGAGGAGTAGCGGAGGCGCTTCGGGGTGGTCTCGAATTGTGGGTCGAAAGGGTGGGAGGCGGAGGGGACGTAGAGAGGGGCGGGGATGGTGAACTGGTGGCGCTGGCGGTGGAGCGGCGGCCGATGTTCGGGGGATTCTTGGTCGGCTCTCGGGGAAGAGGAAGAGGAGAGCTTTTGCTGCTGCTGTGGTTGTGGTTGCTGAGACGGTGGTTTGGTCTTGGTGGTTTGATCGCCTTTGTTGTCAACCATAATGGGCCCGAATTAAAGGGGGGAATTGATTAAAATAATTAATATCTTTTATGAAGTGGGCTAAGGAGAAGGGACTGACTGACTGGTTTTTAGGACAGAACCAGAAGGAAGGGGAGGTGGAGAAGAAGAGCCATTAGAGTGGGACTAAGTTAAGAGGAAGAAACTTTGAGAAGAGGTTTTGGGGAGGAGGTGGTAAAGGTGGGATCTTTTAAATGGGAATAAAACTGGAGAAGAAAGGAAGAAGAATCATGAGCCGGTAAAAGGCAAACAACAAAATAAATAAAAATTCATGGAAATAAGGGTACTATGTGTTATGTTTATGTAGCTGGGGAAAAGCAATAATAAAAAGATTGGGGAAGAAGAAAGCAGAAAAAGGACTGAAATTAAAGGGGGAGAAGAAAAAAAAAATTGAGAAAAGAGGAGGGAGAATTGTGGCCTTGTTGTGGGTTGTTCTTGTTCTGCCATGAATGAGACCCATCGGTTAATTGCAAAGATCACAACTATAAAATTCGGCTTTCAAAGTCTTTTGGTTTATGATTTTGAACCCAGACCACCACTTGGTGCCTCTCCCTCTACGTGGGCAGTGTTACTTCTTTTCTTTTTAGTGACCACAACAATTTTTACAATAACGTGTGGGATTTGTGTGTGTGTGTTTTTTTTCGCCGTGGGTTGATTTCGGGTCGAGTATTAATTTTTTGTAAAAAAATTTGGTTATTTTATTTGCAATTTTTTTTACCTAATCATTATTTCGGTTTACTTGTTGCATTTGAGTGATGGATTTTCCATCTAAATTGGAAACATGGTGAATTTAGTACAAATCATTTGTTAGTTCTAGAAAGATGGAAGAACAAAATTTGTGGGAACTTTGGTCCAAAATCTTTGAGCTCCACAAATTTATAAATCTCAAATGAAATGTGAGATTTGAGATATGTTCCTCGCAAACTTTATTTTAATACATTTTTTGCTATTTTGTTGCTTTTGCTTTGCGAGAGGAAATTAACCCATGATCAACATATCACTTCCGTTATTGACAATATGGCAAATAAGTAACACGATTACATGATTAGTCCACGCAGAGATAACAAGGCATGTCCCAAGAACTTAACCAGGGGGTCTCTCCATATACATCACCTCCTTCAGATCGCCATGTAAAAACGCATTCTTCACATCTAGCTCAAATAAAAGTCAATGACAATGCGCAACAACCGCTTAAAGGGTACATGGTGTCATCATCTTGGCAACTAGGGCGAACATTTCTGCAAGTCGAGCCTTGTAGCGATTAAGGCTCACGTCTATTTTCATCTTACGAGAACAAAACCTCACCCGTTGCCAACGACTGGAACCAATGGTGGAGGATGAGGGACATGTGTCCATGTCTCGTATGTCTCGTTAGCATGAAAAGCAACCATCTCCACCTTCATTGTGTTATCCCTTTTGATTTTCCACAAGCATCTTTGTAACTAGTAGGAACAAAAATGGAGGACATAACATAAGTATGAAAAAAGCAAACTGGAGGTTGGCCCAAGTTGGCTAGAATAGAGCGACGTAGGCCAGCAAGATCATTTACAGCAAGTAGAGGTGATGGTGGTGACTCTGACAAAGATGATGATGTGGAATACGATTAAGGTGAAGAAGACTCGACTAGCGAAGTTGTAGGAGGCTATTCGAGGGTGGGGCGAGTGGCGCATCAGTAGGCAGAAACTCGTCATCATCATCATTTGCAAATGAAGGGAGACTCGAGACAGGAACATATTGGACCGAGAATTAGGATAAGGAGAGTAAAACATCAAGTTTTTAAAAACGACCACGTCACCACAAAAAGAAGGGCTCCAATTAATTCCAGCATATGTCATTTCCCCCTCTCAACTAAGTCATTATGTTCCGACACACCAGGGCATGACTTCTGACATAGAATTCCTAAGGAATGGTAAAAATCATGAAGCTCATTAGATCCAAACTCTCCTACAGGGTTAGAGCAAATGAATTCAACTAGAGTTTTCAAACTGAGAGTTAACAATTTTAACAAACTTTATAGCCACTGCACGTTAGTCGGACTTTAATCGGAGAAAGTAAACCCAAGTGAACTAGGCATGATCAATGAACAAAGAGCAATATCGATATCCACCTAGACGTGACAGGGCTAGGTCCTCAAAGGTCAGTATGAATAAAACCAAATGGATTAAGAATAATGGTAGAACTAGATGTGTGAGAGCTTTGAGTGAACTTGGCTTCCACTCAATAGTACACTGAGAAAAAGAGGAACAAATGACTTTATTACCCAACAAGTGTTGATGAAACATTAACTCAACTCAACTCGATTTCAAATGTCATAAAAGAGAATGCCAAATATGAAAGGCAAATTTTTTTAAGCTAGATAACACAAATGGAAATAATGGTGACGAAACACTCCTAGACACCAAAGATATAACAAAAATGGAAACACTTGGATCATCAAGCTCCTCCAAATAAAAGGTTGCCTACTCCCCCTTCTGATCAAACTCACTGTCTTTAGATCATGACAAGACACCGTAGGATGCGAGCACATACCCTATACCCGTAGTTATCAAAGTACGCAGCTCCAAAAACGAAAAAGAAAAGAGATTTTTAGGGTTTTTTTGTTGGTTTGGGATATGATGAAATTGAAAGTGCAATCTCAACACAAATCGGGAGAAGGTTGAATCAATATAGAAAGGTAGAATCTCGACCACTATGAACGGGAAAACTTGATTGATAGAGAGAAAAGTTTAAGCCTCAAGTTTAAAACGAAGGTAAAAATCAATATTCTGCTAAAAACTAACCCTAAAACCCGATTTTCAGCCTTTATATAGGTATGGACAATTAAAAATAACAAAAACATCTGAAACACACAATTTTCTATCACCCAGGCAAAATACCTGGTCGGGTATTTAAACTCCACGACCGGGGGCCTTCTGCCCAAAGGAGACCGGTTGCTGCCAAAATACCCGGTCGGGTATTTGGCTTCATTGGTCGGGTGTTCTACTCCTCCGCCAGCCTTTCTTCCGCTGCTTGGAATCACATCACTCCCTCCCCGTTGGAGAAGCTTTGCCCTCAAAGCTGGCCTTTTCATGCAAGAGACCACATCAACAATATTTCCAAATGAACTTCTCCTCAATGCAGTCAACATGTTCCTTCGAACCATCAGATGCGCTCCACTTTTGTCCTCCGACTTCGAACAACTTAAACTTCCTTTCTCCTTGGCCCAGTTCATGGCCAGCTGTTGTTGATCTTCCCGGACTTCAGCTGGTGACAATGGATTTAGCAGGAACTTCCGGTCGCCTCTCTTGAACCAGTAGGTGTTGTGCCTCCCATCATGAATAGCTCATCGATCATATTGCCACGGACGACCCAATAAAAGATGAGCAACCTGCATTAGAGCAACATCACACCAAATCTCATCTGCATAACCACCGATCTAAAAACAAACTTTGGCCTTCTTATTGACTTTGATATTCCCATAATCGTTCAGCCAATGCAGAGTGTATGGTTGAGGATGCTTTATGGTGCTCAATCCCAGCTTCTTGACTGCATCCAGCCTAATCACATTGGTGCAGCTATCACCATCGATGACCACAGACAACACCTTCCTGTCGACCAGGCAACGAGAGTGAAAGAGATTATCCCTCTGCTCCGTCTCCATGTAAGCTTCAATAGATAAAGCTTGACGGTTCACCCCAAGAAGTTTACCTGTTGGAGGTTTTCTCAGCCTTGATGTGCTCATCCACATCATCATCTTCAGAATCAACATCAGAACCGAATCCATTTCTCATGGGCTTCTGTTCATACTCCTTCTCAGAAAAGTACTCTCCATCTCGCAAGACAAGAGTCTTCTTGTTGGGGAACTGGTTAGCCTTGTGATATTGACCAAAGCACTTGAAGCATTGGATGCTTCCAGTTGAGCCTTCATTCTTGGCTTGAATGACTGGGGTTGTGTTCCTGATAGCTGGCTTGTCACCTTCTTGCTTAGGATGATTCATGTTAGCCTAAGGAATTTTTCTGCAACAGGTTTTGGTGAAGGTGGGTACCTTCTTCCCGAGCTCACCTTTAGCTGCCTCTCTACCTTCATGGAAAAATGCACCGCTTTCTCCAGCTCCACTAACTGACGAAGCTCTACTTCATTCCTGATATCTCTGTTAAGCCCATGTAGAAAGCGAGCAATCGTTGCTTCCTTGTATTCCCTCACATCTGCTCTCATCATGAGCAGTTCCAGCTCCTTGAAATACTCATCAACTGATCCGTTCCTTGCCGAATTTCCTGCAAGGCATCATGGAGATCTCTCTGATAGAATGGAGGCACAAAATGATCACGCATCAAAACCTCGGAGTTCTGCCCAAGTAGAAACTTCAGGCTGTAAATTCCTTCTTCGTCGTTGTTGAATCTTTTCCCACCAAACTGCTGCATAATCTGTGAACTCATATGTGGCTACAATAACTTTCTGATCCTCTGGGTAAGGATTGCACTGGAAAAACATAATCATCTTCCTCTCCCAGTTGAGGTAAGCTGATTCACTAATAGTACCTTAAAATGATGGGATTGAGAGCTTAATCCCTCGAATCGGTTCAACGCCATAACTCCCTACTTCTGGTGGTCTTCCTCCAGACTCATTATAATCATTCTCATTCTCATTAAATGGAGCTCTGTACTGTGGGAGTAGGGGTGGGCGTTCAGTCGGTTTGGTTCAAACCGAACCGAACTGGCATGTACCGAGTTTCTGAACCCAGATATCCCTCAACCGAATTCGAACCGAGATATAATTCGGTTTGGTTTGGCCGAACCGAATTATATCTCGGTTCGGTTTGGATTTCTACTCAAAACCGAAAAAAAGTATGTGTTGTCCGTTTTTGGCCGCCGGCATTGGTGTTGGTGGAGCTGCCGGTGTTTTTCTTTGGCCTTCAACTGGTGGTTATATTTCGTGGCCTTCGATGGGAGCTTTGGGCTTCGGATTTGGAGCGTAGGAGGAGGCGAGTTTTGGCTGTCGGCGGGAGAGACGGTGGATGGGAGGGAGGCGGTGGCGGTGGTGTGGACGGTGGTAGACTGGGAGAGGTCGAGACTGCGGTCTCCGAGAGGGAAAGCAAGGATCGATGGAGAGACTCGAGAGGCCGTCGGGGTCGGGGATTCGCCGACACGGCTGGTCGCAGTCGCCGCCACGTTG